CTCCGGCAGATATGGCTATGGCAGCATAAGTAGGAGTGCGAGGCAGGTGGGAATGCAGACATGGGGAGTCACCCATTGAGCATGTTTGGGATGCTCTGGATAGGCGTATACGACAGCGTGTTCCAGTTCCTGCCAATATTCAGCAAATTCGCACAGCTATTGAAGAGGAGTGGACCAACATTCCACAGGCCACAATCAACAACCTGATCAACTCTATGCGACGGAGATGTGTTGCCCTGCGTGAGGCGAATGGTGGCCACACCGAATACTGACTGGTTTTCTGCCCCACCAGCCCCCATAAAGCAAAACTGTGCACATTTCAGAGTGGCCTTTTATTGTGGGCAGTCTAAGGCACACCTGTGCAATATTGATGCTGTCTAATCAGCACCTTGACATGCCACACCTGTGAGGTGGGATGGATTGTCTTGGCAAAGGAAAAGTGCTCACTAACACAGATTTAGACAGATTTGTGAACAATATTTGAGAGAAATGGGTCTTTTGTGTATGTAGAAAAATTTTCCGATGTTTGAGTTCAGCTCATGAAAAATGAGAGCAAAAACAAGAGTGTTGCGTTTACATTTTTGTTCAGTGTATATACATAAGAAATGGCTGTAATATGGAAACGAATGTCTGTCTGCGGCAACATCCTGTGAAATGTCTCATTATACAGACACATCCTGACCTAGAAGCTGCTGATTCCTGAGGGCTCAGTACAGCTCCAGGTGTAACAAACAGATCAGACACTCGTGTATTTGGTACAGAGCAGGACCTGATAGCATGGAATTCTGCCTCCAACTTTGTGTCAGGGATCTGGGCAGGAATGAATTACATACTAACAGCAGGATTAGATTATATACAATGTATTGGCCAGGAAATTAATAAGAAAACAGGTGCATGTATGTATAGTTAAATCTGAATCTGAATCTTTATTGTTCACCAAGTGTACAATGAATTCCTCTTGATGCAGGTCATCACAACTGTATTACGGGATGTCTACCATAGAGGTAATGCTGGCATTTAATGTTAATCTTTCAGTACATTCATACAGACACATAAAACTACAGCCATCCACCCATCTATCTTCTAACCTCTCATCCTGGTGAGGGCTGTGGGGCCTGGAGCCTATCCCAGGCAGGACAGGGCACAGGGATGGAGTACATCCTGGACAGGATGCCAGTCATACAGAGGACACATAGACACACACTCTCTATTAGAGACACCAATTAGCATGACTGCATGTATTTGGACTGTGGGAGGAAACCCACAGAGCACATGGAGATCATGCAAACTCCACACACACAGAGCAGAAGCCAGATTCAAACCCCTAAACATGGAGGTGTGAAGCAACAGCGCCACCTATTGAGCCACCATGCCACCGGTATAGAAACTATAATCCCAATAAATAGCTCTATTCAGCAAAAGTTATCAATAGGGTAGTTTAAAGATACACAGCTCCCCCCCCCCCATAGATAATCCCTATAAAAAGCACAGACCCCCTTCATGGGTGAAACTGCCTCATTTGCTGTTTGGCTATTTGAATTGAAGCACAAATTATTCACAGCCAGATTTATATTAATTACTTACATTCAGTGATGGTTATTAGTTTGACAGTAATATGAACTGGGATCTGCCAGCCTCCAGCATCACACCAGTACCATCCTGTGTCCTTCCTTTTCAGTCCCCTCATTGTCACACTGACGATTTTATTTACTGTGTCATCCCTGATCAGGACAGGCCTCCCATCCAAACTCACAGATCTCTCTGATGCACATGAGCCCCCGATCTTACACCACAGCTTCAGACTGTCACTGTTTCCATAGCGACACTGAATACTGACACTGTCTCCTTCCACACCCGTCACCTCCTGTTTGTCTACTGACAGCTCTGGGGAACCTGAGCATGCAAATTAATGACAAATAAAATACTGTGTTATTTACACAAATGTAAAATATTCATGCATATGACACAGTTACAACATGCTTATTTTAATGTTTATCCGTATTTTTTATACGCATCAAAACCTGAGCAAAACATATTACTAATGTTATTTGTACCCTAAAGTAGCCCATTTTAACTGAGACTGTTACTTCTCCGAGGTCTCATTAATGTTACTGTGCAAAACTAAAATTTGGTATTTGTTATTGTAAATTAGGTGTTAAAGTGCTAAAATATATTTTCCTCCAGTGTTTGTGTTTGTGTCCTTCCTTTCTGGATAAATTACATGTTACATACTGTGCATCTCATTGGCTACAGTCTGCAGAACAAACATCTTACCGTCAGTGACTGACAGGTAAACCTGATCTCCAACATCTACATCTCCTAAGATCTTCACACCACATGAGTAGAAATCAGAGTCCCCAACTGTCAGATTGTTGATGGTCACAGTGAAGACTGGCTGGTGAGGATCATCTCTGATTGACACTTTACCGTCCTGTGGAGAGTCACTGTGTACTATGGGAGGACATGAACTCACATTACGCCCTCTGCACCAGTATTTCACAAGAGTTTTATATCTGTCATCATAGAAACATGGGATGGTGACAGATTCTCTTCTCTGTACAGACACTCTGTTCAATGCAGACACACCTGCAGGGACAGTATGAAAGTTACCAGGCTGATTAACTCTCACTCCCTCTTACACCATTTATACGCATATTAATAAAGAGTCAGTATCAGCCCACTGTAGGTTACAATATGTCACTTTGCAGAAATATTAAAAATTGTTTTGCTTAAATGTTGGATTTAATATCACTGTATTTGTAAAAATCAAACATTGGAGAAATGGCTAACTGATCACTGAGTTTCATAAGCATACAAATCTTTGCTGATTCATATTTACTAATTAATATATGTAATATAAACTTAAATACTTAAATATCAGCCAAACTGGTGCTGTATATGTACATTCACACTTTAAATAAAATTTATACTTGAAACTAACTAAAACCTAAACAAAATGACATTTCTTAACTTGTATAACCCCCTGAAGTTGCCCATTTAAACTGACACTGTTTCTTCTCCCAGGATTCATTTATCATTCAGAACTAAACATATATTTTGACCCTCATTTACATAAATAAAATGTAAGATGCCCATTTAAATGTCACCGTTGACTCATGACTTGTGTAAACGCTGGCAGATTCATCCCCTTAAAAAAAAATCCTTCCTTATTTAAAATAAGATATGTTATTGTCATTGTAGTTCATGCAAATAATATGTGTATTTATTTTGTATTAGACATATATGCCTGAAGACAGTGATCATATTTTGTACATACTGTATATCATACCATCAGTGACTGACAGGTAAACCTGATCTCCAACATCTACATCTCCTAAGATCTTCACACCACATGAGTAGAAACCAGACTCCCCAGTTGTCAGATTGTTGATGGTCAGAGTAAAGACCTGCTGGTCAGGATCATCTCTGATTGACACTTTACCCTCCTCTGCAGAATCAGCGTGTACTATGGGAGTACACGACCTCACATTATACCTTCTGCACCAGTATTTCACATGAGTTTTATATCTGTCGTCATAGAAACATGGGATGGTGACAGATCCTCCTCTCTGTACAGACACCCAGCTCACTGTGGACACACTGTCAGCACCTGCAGGGAAAACAATTGACTGAATTCACATTTTTCAAATGAAATGGACTTTGGAGGTCAAACATGCTCAGGCAGGGTACAGATTGCTGGTGTGAGTAGTACACCCTGACACTCACTGCCTCATCCTCTGTACCTTCACCGTCTCTGTCGTTTCTATTCTCAGACACAGCAGGCAGAGTGAAGGGGGAGTGGACACTTTAAACAGGAAGTGATTAAACCACAGGGCTGAACGTTTAGCACTTCAGCAAGTCGTTCCTTTTTGTCACTTTTTAAAGCATAACTATTCATCATTAGTATAATTCATCATCAGGATAATTATGTAGATCCTAATGCAGGAAGCACACAGTGTAAAGTGAGGTAAATCTTCAACAGCACGTCAGTCCATTGCAGGGCACTGGAAGCTGGAGAAATGCCATGTGAACAAAGGAAGCCTGCAAACTGCACACAGACACAGTCATGGTCACATTCAAAACCAGCACTCAGAGCTGAGATGGCAGGTGTATGAGTCAGATATCTAATATCAGGATAAACTAAAGACACAGAGAGACAGAGGGAATCACGGCAAGACCAACAGAAGACATGGGCTTCTGACAGTAAGGCATCAAAGTCCATCACTGTTTACTGTCGATGTCTAGTTGCTCTTAAATTAACTACAAGTGCAAAAGTGGAAATGTTTTTTAAAATGTCTTCAGCTTACTTGGTTTCTTGTGTCATTCATGTGTCACATTTTTTTCTGCAGCCTTATACTTTCCATTACAATTTCCATTTTTATTTGTAACATACACACAAAAACTGCGCTGTTCACAATATTTATGTATATAACAGTATGTAACTGTAACTATATGTACTGCTACGTAACGCTGTTAGGATACCTGACAAAGGCCAGGCAATCCTGCACCTGCAGTGAAGTTGGCTGCTGTGATAGATCTGTACCTCATTAAAAAGCACCAACCTTTACCGAAGAAAACAGTGCAAATCCTGGGCCGCCACCAATGCCGCCCCCAGCAAATAAATTAACAAAAAAGTTGCTGCATCTAGAGCAGAAAAATGGAAAATAGACTGGCTTGGTGCTGAAGGAGTGACTAATATGGCTCTCGTGTTCTGTAAAGCATGCAGGGCTCACCCACCCAAACATAGCTTTGGACAGCTAAAAGCTAATCACGGCTTTGTTACAGGAAGTGAACAGAGGAAAAAGAATTCAGCTCAATGCCACCCAACAGGCAAGCGTCATCGATTTGCATATGATAAGCAACATTAACACTTACACTACAGAATATGTCTTTGCTTTGTTGCCTTAGCTAACAGTGTCGGCAAGTTAGCAGTAAATGTCAGCTAGCTATTGTTAATGTAGTCTCACATAGCCGGACCTATTAGCTACAGTGGGCAAAGTGGACAAAGGGGCCCAACAACAGCATTAATGGAAATAGGAGAGTCTGACTGTGAAAACCATGCATATGAACAGAACTCCGCTCCAGGAGCCTATGAAATATGGCTGGTTGCTGTAACAGAATTTTTGAATTATGTAATGTTTAGCAATTTGCAATATTGTCACTTGAATTCTGATAATGTTGTTTGCAAGGTCACTGGTCTGTATTTACAGCTGGAGAAAGCTGGCTTTTATTTTACCAAATATTATAATAGAATTTCTACAGTTTCTAAAGGCATTTAAAAAGCCCGTAAACTAGTTCTTTTGAAAAACTGTGATTTAGTTTTCCATTTATCTATAAACTAATGTATTATACATATATGAAAGCTATTAAGAGCCAAATAAAAGCCTAAATAGTTAGAACTGTCTCCTGCTTTCGCTCACATAAAGATGGTTTTCTATACACATACAGACGATTGCACACTTTTCTTTGGAACAGCAATATTGTGTTTTTTATTTACTCATGCTGGCACAAGGTGCTGATTGCATGCATTTTAATCTGGGCTCATTTCACTTTAAAAACAAACTTTATTCATTAGTTATTTTTAAAAAGTGACCCTATAATTTTGCAAATGCCCCCATCTTTAGACAATGGTGGCAAAAGTTGTCCCCCCCCCATATATATTTTAAAAATGATCGAACACTGCAGACATGTTAAGTCTAGCAAAAGCCTTAAATAATTGTTTCTTGGCTACAGACCATAATACCCATGAACACCACAGACTAACAATCCCAGGTCCACTCTGTGGTTGTGCCATTGTGCACCTTCATGGTGCTAATTGGAACCACAGAACTTGGTGTCTAAAAGGACTCCTGAAGAGGCACTGTGGGAATGTTAGCCAATCAATATGCTCAGCTCTGCCTGCAGAACGTCATGAATTCTAAAAGGATTTATTGCACTTGTGTGAATTTTTACCTGAGCATAGAGCACGAACCTCTGCCATCATACCATATACACTTCCTGGAAAAAATAAAGTCACCGCTTGAATTTTAAATACTTAAGAGCCAATGATTGATTCGTTATTGCAGTGATTAATATGTTTGCAGCATTAAAGTGAAGTCAGCTGAGTACCTGAATCTACTGAATAACCAGGTTATCCAAGCAATGGATGTTTTCTTCCCTGATGGCCTGGGTGTACTTCAGGACCACAATGCCAAGGTTCATAGGGCTCCAATTGTGAAAGTTCTCAGAATTCAGTGAAACATTAAATCAATGAAAATTAAAGTAGAGATGCTGCATAAGCTCATCGAAACAGAGCGATGGTGAGTGTGCACCATAATCAAAGCTAAAGGCCGTCAAACAAAATGCTGAAGTGTGTGACGTGTTTTTATCAGACAGTGTATTTCTCTAACATATTGATGTGTCTGTCTGGGTCTGTCTTGTTGACCAAGGCAGATCCTTGATAGCGGCGATCATTTTTATTATATTTTTGATTTTTTCAATTTTCATTTGAAATCCATTTTAGGTTTATTAGCATTTTAAAATTTTGTATTCAGTTGTAGTTATTTTAAATTCAGTTTAAATTTTAATCCCCTGCGGAAAAACAGCTAAAAACCAGCTTATGTTGGTAGCTGGTTATGGCTGGTCTAAGAGAGTAAAGTCCCAACTCAGCTAAACCAGCTAGAATGACCATAATAAGCTAGGATGACCAGTTAAAGCATCAAACCATCAAGCAAAAATACATCTTAAGCTGCTCAACTATCATTAGTTGGTCAACCCGCATATCCAACGGAAGCTGATCAAGCTGGTTTTTTAAACAGGGATAATTTTAGAGAGATCTCTACTCAGTACCACTGTAATGAGAGACACTCACCTGTGAGCCCAGCAATGAGAAGAAACAGGAGCATCAGAGGATCCATACGTGTGTGTGTCACTGAGCCCAGATCTGTGGAGACTGACACTCACTTCCTCATCCTGTGTACCTTCACTGTCATGGTCCTTTCTATCTCTATTGTGTCTATTGTCACACACAGCAGGCAGAGTGAAGGGGGAGTGGACACTTTAAACAGGAACTGACAAAACCACAAGGCTGAATGTTTAGCACTTCAACATGCCATTCTAACATTATTTATCAGGAGAGCATTAAATACACTTTAATTGAATTAACAGGCCCATTAATAAAATAACCTCAGCATAAATAACACAGGTCTGCAACCAAAAAACTGCATATTATTTTTTGACTGTTTCTTATAGATTTTTACTCACTGAAACCAGGAAAAATATTTGAAAAATTCCATCTTGTCAGGTTTTCTTGCAAAACTCATGTTTTTAGTTTAATTAAGCGTAAAATTTCCCTTTTTAGACTGAAATCTGGTATCCTATTCTTGAGTCAAAAAATCATATCCAATAATGATTTCTTATATTAATTTAATATTTCTAAGAGCGAGACTCAAGAGAAATACAAATAGAAAATGTGAGGAATTGAGGGGGGTCAGTAGGAGGGGGGGGGTACGGTGGGACTCTTTTAAGGATGTAGTGCACAGGTTTTTGGGGAATACTAAAGATCCTCTCTACAAAACCACTGTACAACACATGTTGGCTGCGTATGAGGCTCAAGCATACAAGATGAGCTTAAAAGTTCATTTCCTACACTCCCATATTGACTGTTTTCCCAAAAACTTAGGAGACTATAGTGAAGAGCCGGGTGAAAGGTTTCACCAAGATGGGACGTCAACATACTAGCTGACTACTGTTGGATGCTCAGGCGGGAAACAGAAGATGCAAAGCGAAAGCATGTTCGCAGGAGCATCAAAGAGAAGAAAAAAAGGTTTCACAGACAAAAAGAGTAAACATGTAGTGTTAAATATGTCATGAAGGAATAGTTTTTTGTTTCTTTTTTTCAATTATAAGAAAAATTATGCATAGTTAATTGTAATAAAATATAGATTTTTTTTCATTGCTGTTGTGCTTTTCTAATGTAAACTCCTCATGGTTTGCAAAAAACTGTACGTGATGGAGGGACATGGAGGTCATTTTTGGATTCAACACCCTAAAAAACATAAAATTTACCAAAAATATCCCATGCAGCTGAAAATATTTTTTTTGCAGACCTGTGTAATTAAGGGACATGCCTGAATTTGAGTATAAGTGTATTTATAATTGTGCTATCACTAATAAGAAACAAAAATTAGTTGGATATCACTGTTGCCTCAAAGAATCATGTGTTTCACCATAGCTGTTTAATCATTAGTATAATTATCTAGATGCTAATGCATAGTGTAAAGTGAGGTAAACCTTCAACAGCACGTCAGTCCATTGCAGGGCACTGGAAGCTGGAGAAATGCCATGTGAACAGAGGAAGCCTGCAAACTGCACACAGACGCAGTCATGGTCACATTCAAAGCCAACAGTCAGGAGTGCTGAGATGGCAGGGCTAGGAGTCAGATATCTAATATCAGGATAAACTAAAGACACAGAGAGACTTTGAGGAACCACGGCAAGGCCAACAGAAGACATGGGCTTCTGACAGTAAGGCATCAAAATCCAAGTCAATGTCTATTTGCTCTTAAATAAACTGCAAGTGTTTCCCACTCTACTCACACACCCCTAACCTTAACAACCTGTATCCCCCACACACTCCTCCCACCTATGCAAAAATTATTATTATTAAAAGCCCAACATTGGGCGACTTATATCAATGCAACCAGGTTCACTGAATCTACACCTATGGCTGTCCTTTCATGTGACATCACTATGTGACACCGCTTCAATTCTAGAGCGCTTCGTCACAAAATTAAATCAGTCATGGATCTTCTATTATCCATAAGATCTGTCAAATACTTTTTGAGTTATCACAATAATTAAATCAATTGTCTGAGCTGCCCTTCTCTTTGATATTGCATTATTAGACATGATTAGACAAGTAGACCTACCTACCTACCTGCTTACCTACCTACCACCATCTTTGCCCTGCCCCCCCCCAAAAAAAAAAAAAATCACCCTCGTCTCACTGCGGAGAGACAGTGCTGTTTATAGCACTGGTTTTGCTGCTATGTGGTTTCCTCTTCCAGCTCTCTCTTTCCATCACACACAAATGCGGCAGCACCTCCTACCCAACGCACAGATGCTGCTACCAAACGGCCATTTAAGAATAAACAGAAAATCATTCTGAGAGCAGAGGGAGGAAACGATCTGAAGATCGTGTGGTTTTGAGGCTGGCGTTTTACCAGCAGCTACAAGACGCCTCTACGCAGGAATGGACTGCTGAGGACACCGCGAAGGGTGCAGGGAGTGTGCACACAGGGCACGTTCACCATCAAGAAAGGCGTCGTGTAGCATGACTGTATGCACTGGTGGCCTCAGGGGGCAGCGGGGGGGCAACCATCACTGAAGCACCGTCTAGAGAGGCAACAGTGTTGCTATTGGCTGCCCTTTACATGGAAAGAAAATGCCGCCTAGGGCCCCTTCATGTCAGACAGTATGATGATGTGCCCAAGAAAATGTGATGTAGTGTCTCACACACAGTCACTATGGGCACTTTTAGAGGCAGCAATTCACTTGAACCACGTGTCTTTGGACTGTGGGAAGAAACGGGAGAACAAAGAGGAAACCAGCATAGATACAGGGAGACCATGCAAACTGCCCACAGAGAGCTGGGCCGGATATCAAAACCACAAGCCTGGTGGAGTGAGGCCCCCACGCTGCCCCAAGTCTTTACCAGCTAGAAGGTAAGTAGCTCTCCAAACCTGCTGCAGAGTGAAAGACAACCAGGTTTAGCCTTGACCCCTAACACTGATCTTGCCCCCTGATAAGCACTGAGACCTTCTGCAGTAATACATGAAGCTGGGTGTTTAGACCCCTCTGTCTGTACACACAGAAATGACTGATGGCATCCCGGCTGTCTGCTCACATAACCACTGGTGCTGCTGAAATGAGCCCTGTAAGATCAATCACAGGCCTCACAGAAAACCAAAGGGTACAAGAGGCAGGAGCAGTTTGCACTGACGGAGTCTTTATACTGTTTGGATACTAAAAGAGACACGTTACAGTATCATGCAGTATATTTGGATTTAATACTTACAATATCAATAACCTGATTCATGGTGCACTGGTCATGTTTTAAATATCACTGTTTTGGAAACACTTTACAAACACTTCAGAAGACAAATGATCTCTACACTTTTTTTGTTTGATATCGCAGATACTAATAACAGGGAAACCTCTGAGCCACTTGCTGGGGGACAGGGTGCCATTATTAGTGGAATGATACTACGAAAGATCATTCCACTGGCTATATTTAATGATGAATTATAAACATGTCATGGGCCAGATATTATGTAGGACGAAACGTGACATAATCAGAAATAAAGAAATCAGTGATCGAATAAATATATTCAAGTTTTTATTCCATCTGTATGTAAATGAGTTGGCCAGCCCTAACCCTTTTCCTAAAGTGCTATTGGCCAGGGGGGCTTTGTTAATCTGTGCTCCATTACTTTAGTCTTACTTGGATGAAAAGAAATGCCAGCTGGCATTCATGTTAGTAATGCTAAGTTCACTTGAGGGTTTGTACTGGCGGGTGATGGAATCCGGTAGTGCAGGACTCTCCAGAGGTTGCCCCGCTCCTTAAACAGCATCAAAGGGAGTTTGCCGTTCCCTGCCTCAGGAGCTGGAGAAAGCAGCAGAGACCTTAAGGAAGCTGCTCAATTTGAGAAAGAAGGAGCAAGCTTCCTCGGCAGGAGACACCTTTTCACTTGAGGTGGCACCCGATGTTTCTGCTGCGCCTTCCCCCGAGGCCATGCCCGCACCTGAGGCCTAACCCCCAGCTCCAGTCCCCGAGGTTCCTGCTCCAATACCCGTGGTTCATGCTCCAATACCTGTGGTTCCTGCTCCAGCCCCAGTTCCTGTAGTTCCCGTTTCAGACCCCGCTCTAGTTCCCATGGTTCCAGCCCCAGGCCCCGCTTCAGACCCCATACCCGCTCCAGTCACGGCTCAAGACCCTGAAGATCCACCCTATCATGGCAGATACAGGCCAGAAACCCATCTCTAAGTGTGGGAGAGGACACCTGTGCTGGGGTTAGGTCCCGCCTGCCCTGCCCCCAGGTTTACATTCGGTCCCCCTTGCTTCAGCCTGGCAGTCACCTGCAGTCCCCCTGGCTCCGGCTCGACAGTTGCCGGCTGTGGCTTCACCGTCACCTGCTGCGGCTTCTACTCCTTCCTTGCCTCCTCCAGCAGTCCCTCTGCCTTCCTCCTCGCCCCCTTTGGTATCCCCTCTGCCTCCTACCTTGCAGTTGCCAAGGGTCCCTCCAGCTCCGGTCTCGTGGTCGCCTGTGGCCCCTGCTGCTCCCACCTTCGGTCTCTGGATCTTGTGTTCCTGTCCTTGGTGCCCCTGTTCACCCTGTTCTATGTTTGTTCAGTTGCTGTCCTGGTTGGTAGTTCCCCACCACAAACACCGGGTGAGCAAAAGCACAGCCAGGGCCAGCAAGATTGGGAGAACAAAACTTAACCCTCTGGGGTGTAGGGGTAGGATACACACTTTCACTGACTGGGGCATGATCACACATTTCTTCAAATATCATAAACTTAATTCATGGCAAATAAATTATTTCTTATATATTTGTTTTGCCATTACACTCATCTTTATTTTAATGTATATTGTAAATATGTCAGATTTTTGTTGTTTGTAATTTGACATCAAAGTATAGACATTGCAAAATGCAGTTTGGAACACTTGCAGAAACATTATAAAACCACATAGTAAGCAATGCTGGCAGTTTGTTTTAATCCCAGATATCTGATCACCAAAGTCTTGGCTACATGAAGATGACTAAATGGTGTAGTTGCAGCATTCAGTTGGATAAATAAATAAGAAAAAGGTAACTCATGCCACTATTTCTGGCTCCTTTCATTGAATATGTAGCAACTTTCATGTGTATGAATGAGCCATTCACACCTGGCCACATCCCCAACCCCCTTTTATGGTGCTGATGGGGATGTATCTGGA